GTGTGCTAAAAACCTCAAATTCAAAACAGGAGATCCTTTTCGTAACTGCCTTTAAGGTAGGGAATAAAAGTGTACTTTTTTGAAAAAAAAGCATCAAAATATCAACAAATGGCCAGCGCATCGACTGCCGGTGCGAAGATGCGTTTTTGCATAGTTCCCTGCAGGTTTTTGTTGCTAACGGCACCGGTTTTTCCGGCAAATGTTACTAGTTAAAATAATTGAGACTATTAATTGAGACTATAATTGAGGCTATTCACCCTTTAAGGGCGGTTACGAAAAGGATCTTCTACTTTAAATGGAGCACAGAAGGATTCATGATTTGATAAGATCGGAAACTGAACGAATGCCAACTTTATGACAACGATAATAAACTGTACGAACAAAGCATATCGTTTTCACCTATTTTTTGAAACTCAACCCCACAGAAACCCATCACCAGTTACACCGTTTTCAGGTAATATTGCTTCCTATCTGCTCGTTTTGTCATAATTCTCAGAGAGTTCTTTTAATCCTCATCACCTGGTGCATTTTAACCGAAATGCCGCAAATAAAAGTGGGGAATAAAAGTGTACTTTTTTGAAAAAAAAAGCATCAAATATCAACAAATGGCCAGCGCATCGACCAGCGCCGATGCGAAGATGCGTTTTTTGTATAGTTCCTCGCAGGCTTTTTTTGCCAACGCCACCGGTTTTTCCAGCAAATGCTACTAGTTAAGATAATTGAGACTATTTACCAGAGCTGTCTGAAAACATCCCTTTAAAACTTCAGCTTTCTAGCTTTCCTAGCTCCTAAGTTAGCAACTTACCCGCAAAAAACTTTCACGGGCCTGTACACAGAAATCAGACATAGCCGGGGACTGGATTTTAATTCATTAATACCTACGTGGACGGGGAACATCCCCTTAAAATTTCAGTCTTCTAGCCTTTCCGGTTCCCGAGTTAGTTAACTTACCCAAAAAAACTTTGGCGTGCCCGCACATGGGTACCACGTGGAAACTTAATCTACATGCATACACAGGGCCCCCACTTTGGAAGTGAACGCATGCAGATTAAGTTTCCAAAATTCCAGCCCTGTGGCTTCTGTAGGTCTCGAGATGAAAAATT